GAGATTTTTCTGCAGCCCTGCACTCTCTGTCCACTGCGTGCTCCTCTGTTGCCTTTTTATCCAAAAAGCTCAGTGGTGTAACTCTTCTTCAAACAAACACATAAGAGAAAAGCATTTTCTCCCTGTCGCCTTTCTCTCTCATGGGCTCTTTCCCATGATGCACCGCTGTTCACTAACAAGAGAGGACAGCCAATCGAAGTGACCTGCCTTAAGCTTGCTGTTTCCCCGGTCTTGTTTTCTATTTGGAAAGCAGCGCACACTCTCACAGGCCATTTAGCCGGTGCAGTAACGACAGAGGCAAACACTTGCTCAATCCAAAATAGCACAAAAGAATGTGGTAACAGGTTCAGAGAAAGGACTGAAACAGCCTCCCTTCGCGTTTTTTTTCTTTTCATGTGTGAATGTCAGGTCTGCCGGGGGAAGTGCATAAAACATTATTTCAACAAAACATGTGTCTGTGCGTCTATAACTGTGTGTGTTCTAGCTTCAAAGTGTAACGTGGCTGTAATTCTGCCCATGTATGTGCATTTGCGTGTACGCATGTTAGTACAAATAGCCTGGAGGACTTAAAAGTCTCCTGCACATCTTGGTTTTTTTGTCCCCTGGAAAATTAAACACAAAACTCAACAAAGAAAGCAGACTTTTCATTAGGCAGAAAAATATATCCACATTCCTGTCCTTGGCTTATAGGACGCATGTTTCGTCTTTCAAAAGAGAAATGAGTTCAATTAGCCCTGCAGAAGCGCTCTGTCTGTTCCGGATTCTCATGCAGAATTGCAAGGCAGCACCATAGGAAAAACACAGAATAAACTCAAATAAACTCACAATATTTTAAGGAGAAACCTGCAGCCTAAGGGTATTTTCAGTTGTGGTCTGTTGGGTCCTTGAAGCAAACCCTGGTGTGAATGCACCATTTGTGCTTATTATTTGAACAGGTGTGAACAAATCCCCAAGTGTGGACATCAGCGATGGGAAGTTGAACAGTGAAGTCATGGGCAATGTCCAAGCTGAATCTTTGTGATTGAAATGCAACATGATAAACAAGGATAATCACCTTTATTGGCCAAGTACGTTACACACAAGGAATTTATTTCTGGTACAGAACCGATGGCAGCCATCTGCGGCGCTACCTCAACCGATGGCTCTAGCCATCAGGGGGCTTCAGTGTCTTGCCCAACAACACTTAGACATGTGGACCGCTGGCACGAAGACAACTGCTCTACCACCGCACCACTCTGGCCTCTAGACAGCCCTGTATGCTAGCCTGTGCACAGTGCTCCAGTGTTTTGGTTTCCTCTAGTAGGAAAGATTTCAAACTGATACAGTTTAGGCATGCAACATGGATCATAATTATCTTACACTGCAGTGGCAGATAACATTGGTTTTATTATCAATTAATAGGATGGCTATCTTCTCATAATTGGTTAGTCTATAAAATGTAATGTAAAAGTCCAAAGTTCTCAGATTCCAAACTGATATTTTTAGTTTCTTGATTAGTTTGACTAGTCCAAAAACTCAAATATAGTCAGTCAACAATTACTGTAAATTTCAATGCCAAAACCACTGACTTTTTTGCTTGATATATTTATTCAAAAAATAATTGCTGATTAAGTTTCAACTAATCAAATTGTCAACTGTTTGAGTTGTAAATGATACAAATATGGGACAAATAGGATTTTTACTTGATTGGTACTCATAAATTAATTATAACTGTGGTCAAGCCAAATGCTCAAATCTCACGGCAAGATTTGCGGAGGAGGAACGGCCGCCTTCGTCAAACAGTCCTGGTGAACCGACAGTAAGATTATCTCCAAATTTTGTTCCGAAGATATGGAACATATAACACTGAAGCTGAGGCCATTTTATCTGCCAAGAGAAATGTAATGTATCATTGTAAGTGTGGTGTACGTACCCTCCTCATCCATGGAGGGTGTTGCACTCAAAGAGCTGTACAACATAATCAATGAGTATGAAAACACATACCCTGATGCTGCTATTATTGTTCAATCACTGAAATCTCAGGGAAAGCATGCCTAAACTGTATCAGTTTGTAACCTGTCAGGGCCGCTGCCTCTCCTCCGCCTTTCTCTCCTCTGCTCTCTCTATCCTGTGGGCTCTGCACCTCAGCTGTGTTGCATTCCAGTAATTAGCGACTGGTTTGTCGATGCACACAGCTGGGGTGCATCCCGATGATTGCCTTCTCCTCCTTATTTATACCGCTGACAGACGCTCAGGTTTTGCCGGAACATTACATAGTAACGCGGAGTGTACATGTTGGTAGAATGCTACACTGACAGACACTTTGCGTTTTGGCTTGACTCTACCACACTACCTACGAGCTACGCTAATTCCCACTACACTACACATTTTGGTAGAATGCTATGCTGACAGACACTGTGCGTTTTGGCTTGACTCTACCACACTACCTACGAGCTACGCTCATTTACACTACACTACATATCATACATATCCAAGTACCGTACCTTCCCATGTTATGTTCTTTTGATACTTTGTGTTCTCTTTCTTTACCTGCTACCGTCATGTTTTTCCCCCTAGCACCTGGGTCTGCAAACTTGAGTCCAACCTCAGTCCTCCCTCACCCTCCTGGTGAGGGGGGCTACCATAACATAACCTTTCCTACTAGAGGAAACCAAAACACTGGAGCACTGTGCACACGCTAGCGTACAGGGCTATCTAGGGGCCACAGACTGGAATGTCTTCAAAAGGGCCACAGACAATATTCATAAATATGCAGATACTGTGGGTGATTACATCAGCTGGTGCACGTCCATATGTGCCCCACCCAGAACTGTGTGTGTCTTCCCCAACCAAAAACCTTTGTTCAATATGGACATAAAACAGAAAATCAGAAAAAGGCGGGAAGCTTTCAAGGCAGGGGACCAAGGAGAGTACAAGAGAGCCTGGTATGAGCTACAGAGGTCCGTCAGAGCTGCAAAGAGGGCATACTTCCAAAAACTGGAGAGCTGTTACCTGAATAACAACACCTGCATGTGGCAGGGAATCCAGGCAGTCACAAACTACAGGATCAAATCAACGATCACAATCTCCCATGACATCACCCTCCCGGACAGCCTTAATAACTTCTATGCTAGGTTTGACAGGATGAACATGGATACCCCCTCAAAATCCCCCTGTGACCCGGGGGACACTGCTTATCAGGTAACGCACACACAGGTTCTGAAGGCCCTGAAACAGGTAAACCCCCATAAGGTGGCGGGAACAGATGGTGTGTCCCCCAGAGTGTTGAGAGCCTCTGGGGATCAACTAGCTAGTGTATACAGACATCTTCAACCTGTCCTTAACCCAAGCAATAGTCCCTTGCATTTTCAAAAAAATCCATTATCGTACCGGTCCCTAAGACATCAGACACATCCACTCTGAATGACTTCAGGCCAGTGGCACTCACATCAGTCGCCATGAAGTGCTTAGAGAAATTGGTCCTCACACACGTCAACCACATGGTCCCGGACACTGTAAACCCCTCCAGTTTGCCTATCACCCCAACGGATCAGTGGATGACGTGACAGCTCTGGCTTTATTCCATACCCTGAAACACCTGGACAACAGCAGTGCATATGTTAGGATGCTCTTCCTGGACTACAGTTCTGCATTCAATACCATTCGCCCAGGCAGGCTGAATACCATGTGCAATATTTGAAACTCCCCATTTTACCTGCTACCTTATTCCTTTATCCACAGTTTTATCAACTATTTTGTATTCTTCGGTATTCTTGTTTTTTGTATTCTTGGGTGATCTTATATTTAGACTAGATGTTCGTTCCGTTGGCTTTAAACTCTTTACCTGACACCTGAGACCTGCACAAGAATTCCTATATGCCTAGACTGTCTGTTTATGCATAAATGGCTAATAAAAATCTTGAATCTTTAGTGGCTCTTTATGTGCAGCACATCTTGCTGTCTGTCCTTTGCAGGTTCTTGCCACAATGACAATGAATAACCTTAATAGCACTTTGTTGTGTGGCCAAGAAGAAGCATACTGTAAATCTTCAAAAGTCATAGCCAGTGATTTTTAGTAGCCTGTTCCTGTTTACATTTTGGCTAACTGTCATTTAGTAGCTTCTGTTTGCAATTTACTGACAGGTGTACAGGCAACAATCCCTTTGACACAGAAGAAAACCTAAAACTTGATTTGAAGTTCTGGATTTGCAATGAATGATTTTCCCTAGAATTTTTAAAACATCTAAACATATCTAAAAATATGTGCATAATGCCTGTGTGTCCAGATTATTACTATGTGATTAGTCTGAGAATGAGTATGATTTTTGAAGCAAACTGTATTAATTGAGCAGCACATTAATTCCATGAGCTGTGTCCCAGATGCTGCTGCTGCCTGTGGCTGCTGACAGTGTTGATAAGTGGGCCACCTCAGAGGTCAAACTACAATTAATTAATTTCCAGTTGTTTATAGAACACCGGCATAACCTGTCTGTTTCAACTCACACATCATATCTATGATGCCCCTTGAAGTTCTGGGCTTATTTTTGTTGTCATTTTTTCTTTATACCTACAGATACATGGTCAAATATATTGTACATGATGTATTGTCAGAGGTTTTTTGAGTAGCTACAGTAAAAATCTTCAGAAGAAAATGGTTAAGTCTTCCAACACTACAAAACAACTGGCCTTGCAGATTTAAACACCATTCAACATTTTAGAGGAGGGACCGATCTCTCCTTTGACAGCAGACCTATTTATCCAGAAAGCAAACTAGCAACAAGCCCGGCTGGGTTCTGAGGCTTGCTTTATCTTGACTGGAACATCTTGTTCTCTCACTTTTGTTATCACCACTGCTATCACTCCTTCCATTGGCAGGAATAACACACTACTTAACAAGTTCAGAGATGTTCTCTGGAGGCAATCAAAAGGCATTCAATACCAGCTACAAGTAAGCAAGTAAAGGAGAAGTGGATAGAGTAAAGAGGCCATTACAATGCATTTGTCCTTTATCATGTTTTTACCTGTAATATCTGGTTTCTGTGGCATGAAGAACTGATAGAAGGTAGGCTCCGACAGGCCCTTGACATTGCGCGCCGTGATTTCCACTTCATATCTTGTGTTCCACTGCAGTGGCTGAAGCATCGCGAAATCATTTGCTCCTGGAACTAGTTTGGTCATCCACTGTTCCTCTTTATCCTGAAGGGAGAGAAAAGTAAAGAAAGAGAGAATGTAAAAGACAGGACTTTTGCCCTTGAATAATATTTCATCTTTGTCTGCAAGTATCAGAGGAGAGCAAAGGAAGTTGTTTTACATGATAAACACCAGCTTTGTGTTTTTAATCTGGGGATTGTGAGAGTTATTACAATTGGGAACTGATGTGCAATTGTGAAACACCCAAGCACATGCACTTGCAGGTAAAAAGAAAGGCTAATCCTCTGTTTTTCATCAAGCTTGCACACATTCTCTGACACCCTTTTGCTCCTTTGTGGCTTCAGGCTTTTCTTTTTTCCTCTTCCTTGCATCATTCTTGCTTTCCCTCCTTCCTCACTCATCATCTGGAGACTGATTCCAAACAAAGGACTGGAAACTGAACAGTAAGCTATATATTGAAAGCATGCCAAATGTACTGTGTGCTCAACATTCTTGGCTACTTGGCACCTTTTCCTCCAAATGTTAGAGGACAAATTGTAGAGCAAAATGGCCTTTTACAAAGTCAAGGTCCAGGGAATAAATATATGTAACATTTGTGTGGATTGCCACCTGACTATTATGTGTTCTGGTTCAGGCTTTGTCCCTCCTCAATGAAGCAGCTGTTTGCTCCTGATGCCAGACAAGGCCATAACATTACTGGAGTGTGAAGCCTCCACCTTTTCCTTTTCCTTCATAAGCCACAGACTTCCTAACCCTCTTAAATCACTGTCACTTTGTCGGTGGGACAGGGAAATGCCTGCCTGGATACATGTACATCAGGGAGATCAGAGATTTGGACCAGCTCACATCCACTTAGTCCTGTAAAAAATTTTGTATGGGTGCCATCTATTCTGCCTCCTGGCCTCATCTCAGTCGCTCGCCTTATCTTGAGAGTTTAAGCTGTTTTCTGCTATTTTACACACACAAACACACACACACAAATCAACTACTTAAATGGATGAGTGAATTCTGAAAGCTTATGTCTGCTCTCATTTAAAATGTGAATTGTAAGTGACACAAGGACTGAAAAACAGAAATTCTCAAGCAGAAGATTATTCATTTTGCCACCAACGCACCCACTCAACTCAATCAACAGAAACCTATCAAACTAGTGAGTCATTCACAGTCCGCTGAGATAAAAATGCATTCCTAGTGTCATAACCTGTGCGTCAAACACAAAAAACAAGGTGCAATTTTGAAATGTTTTGTTGTTTCTTTACACCAGACAGAACTGCACACTTCAAAAGTAAAGAGAACACCTACTCTAAACTGAATGATCCTCATTTTGTTAATATAACAGTGTTTGGTTTACTCAGTTTTCACAATCTACAACCTCACATCAGAAAAAGGCAACAGCACTAATCACTGCTCCACCATGCCACCCCATCTGTTTGTTAATCAAATCCAAAAACATTTATGTCAAAAACAGGTGAATGAGAATGTATTCTCTTCAAGACATCGTGTAGTTTACTATGTGTTTTTACATTGCTTTCACAAACTAAACAGTGACTACAACCCCAAATCAGAAAAAGTTGAGACAGTATGTAAAATTAAAATTAAAAGTGAAGGTTGTGATTTGTAAATCATCTGTGTCCTGTATTACACTGAAAACAATACAGCAGCACATTATTTGATGTGATACCTCATAAGTTTTATTCCTTATTCAAAATAAACACACTTCAATTCTGATGCCTGCAACCTGTGGTTTCTTTTACATTGGTTACACTTGCATTTTGTGCTGTTAGTATGCCATCTTAAATAATCCAAATAATTGAATCACTTACAACATCATACAATTCACACATTGGCATCCTCCTCTTCATTGGTTGATGCAATTTGCTTTTCAAAATGTGGGCGTCCATTCCTTCCAGAAAAGGCCTGAAATGTTGATTTGTCTGACCACAGTACACGTTTCTACTGTGTGATGGTCCATCCCAGATGCCTCTGAGCCCAGAGCTTCTGGACACTGTTGACATAGGGCTTCCTTTTGGCACAGTACAGTTTTAAGCAGCATTTATGGATGTAACTACATATTGTAGTGCCTGACACAGGTGAGCCAAAGTCATCCTGAGCCCATGTGGTTATATCGCTTATAGAAGAGTGACGATTCTTGATGCAGTGATCGGAGAGCACAGTCATCCAGATTAGGCTTGTGCCCTTTATGCACTGGAATTACTCCAAATTTCTTGAATTTTTTAATCATGTTCTGCACCGTAAAGGGTGACATATCCAAATCCCTTCCTGACTTTTTTTAAGGAACATTGTTTTCAAACATTTCAATAATTTTCTCATTCATATGTTGGGAAACTGGTGGTCCTCAGTCCATCTTTACTTCAAAAGGGCTCGGCCTTTCCTGGATGCCGCTGTTGTACCAAATCATGATGCAGTCACCTGCTGACATCACCTGTTTCAAATGGAATCATCATTTCATTGTTTTACCTCATTACTGGCCCTGAAATGCAACATCCCAACTCTTTTTGGAATGTGTTGCAGCATCAGAATTGAAGTGAGTGTTGTGAACAAGGAATAAAGTTGATGCTGTATCACATCAAATAATGTGCTGCTGTGTTTTTTTTTTTTTATGTGCTGCTGTGTTGTTTTCAGTGTAATACAGCACACAAATGATTTACAAATCATTACTTTCACTTTTAATTTTAATTTTACATACTGTCCCAACTTTTTCATATTCGGGATTGTAGTCACTGTTTAGTTTGTGAAAGCAATGTAAAAACACATAGTGAACTACACGATGTCTTGATGTCAGTGATTACTTCTGTTGCCTCCCAGCAAAAAGGTTCTGAGTTCAAGCCTTGGCTGACCTGATGGCTTTCTGTGTGGATTTTGCATATTCTCCCTGATCCTGCATGGGTTCTCTCCGGTTGCTGAAAACACGAGCTAAAGTTAATAAAGTCAAAAACTTTAAGTATTTCAAGTTAAGTACAAAAATAAAATAAAAAGAGACGAGAAATACTGGTGTTTGAAACTAAGAAATTTTGATATTTTATTTATGCTTAAAACAGTTTAAAAGAATAATATCTGTTATTTTCAACATATTTTCGCTTATTTTCAACCATTATTTTGCTTCAGGTTTTTCTTATCTTGTACATTCTAATTTAACTCTAACTGAACTTCACTCAAACAAGCCTTTGAGTTAGAGACTTGATTCATGTGGATTCTGATCACAAAGCTGATGTTCAACTGTAAAATAATACAAATTACTCACCGTCTTGTATTTCACTATATACTCCACAATGGGCATCCCTCCATCATCCTGTTTGACCAGCCCCAGCCTGTAGGCCTTGCCCATCCCTCTCTGCCCATGGACCGCTGGCGGACTCGGCTCTCCTGAGGGGGACAAGAAAAGGAGGCCTCAGAAAAGAAGCTAAACAATATATTTTTGTGTGTTTTTTTTTCCTGTGAGCGCCTGTGTGTGCCGCCCATGAGGGAGAGCAGGTGGCAACATGAGATACCAGATAAGGACACAGTACAAGGAGAGAGATGGTTTTAAGGTAAGTTAAATTCATATTAAAAAGCAAATCCCACTCCTTGGCTTTAAGCAAGGTTGACTGGAAGCGCTTATTATTTACTGTGTTTTGTTAATTAGATTTTCTTTCCAGCATTAATTGATAGTAGCTGCTGTATAACAGTTTAACAGTGAAAACACTTTTTCTGTGGCCTTGCCTGGATTTACTGCAATCCTGCTGTGCCAGATTTTCAGAATAAATAAAGTGCTTATTATAAAACCCCTGCAGTATATAATTTTTTAATGCAGCAGTTTTACAACAAGACACAAATTTGACAGGATATATTCCAAGATCCAATAATCTTGATTTATATCACTAGATTTTTATAAAGTAGCACATAGCTATCATTTCCCAAGGTGATGAAGCTTTGAATAGAGTTCTGCAGAATGTTTGCATTTCTATCACAAATCTTCTTTTTATTTTATATAATCCAAACATCTGATAGCAGTCAAAATAAAACTCCATAACTGTTTTATTAGGGTTTATTGCCCCATTGTGTAAAAATATTACATTTTTGCACTTTGGAATGTGTACTTAATTACCTACTACATATCATCATAACTCCTGGGATTGTAATAATTAACAATTAACCCACTGCTATAAACCTATTGTAGTAATGAATTCAAGTGATTATGACTGGATTTCATTTCACAGATACATCCGTTAGTGGCTGATAGAATAGTTCTGAGGATACTAATGAAATGGCAAGCTCTTATTTTGAAGGGCAAGAACAGAGAGTCAGACTCACGGATGGGTAAAGTCTGGAAGGTCTCCGTGTGGCTGAACTCTCCCTGACCCTTTCCATTGACAGCTGCCACTCGAACCTCGTACGTCGTGTTAGGCTCCAGTCCCGTCAGCACCACTGTTGCTGGAGACAGACAGGACCAGATTTCATGTTACCTGGAAGCACTGTATGTGACAATCATCTATTATATAGGCAGCACAGTTCGACCCGCCATCTTGAGAGGCATCGCAAAACTCTTATTCCTGCTTTGAGGAGGGAGGAGGCTGACTGGAGGAGACATGATACTGTACATGAGAGCATCCTTTGCAGAAGTTTTTATGGACTGACATTCCCCTTTATCAGAAATCAGTTGGTGATCGGACACTTCAGATGAAAAATCAAAGGAAAGGATGTTTCATGTCTGTATGAACATGTTTCCTCACAATTTTTACTTGCATCCTTTACTTGGATCTCACATGGGTGGGACTAAGACACAACAAAAAGATCCAAGTGAGGGAAAGGCAGATGCAATTTGGGCAAATGGGATTTGCCCATTGTCTATCTATCATCTGTCATGTGCCCATTTGTTGCAAGTTGTAATACCAGACCAGTAATAAATAGTGTGAGAGGAATATTTTGTTAAAAAATAAATGACTGCAGATTTAGGAAAAACACACACACATACCTACAATAATATTAAGTAGCAAGTTATAATAAACACCATTAGAGAGGATTTAATGAGATCACTGTACATTATTATGAAGGATGTTAAAACTATTAGCAACACTGAAAACTGTGTAATATGTAGCATTCAGTGTAAACTGCATCAATTCTTGAAGAAAACAGGAAATCTCATTATCAGACCACATTACAGATTCCTATTTAAATTCAGCAGTCACTAGAGTCTATTTACATAATCTTGACTATTCAGAAAAGCCAGCAGAGAGTTGGCAGTGAAAGCTGTTGTTTTTGTCAGTCTGCACAAATTAAATACTTGAATAGTAATAGGTGCTTTTGCAGTCCTTTAGTCCCGGAACTGAAAACAAATTCTGCAATTTGCAGCCGTTCTAAGTTCCTTTCTTAGCTATAAGCAAGCATTTCAATTTGGGCAAAAGCATTCAAATGAAACAAGTTCAGGCATCTCATTATATTGAAGAGTTTATTGTGTAAGTACTTTTTACTGAGGATATCTGAAGTGGCCTCTGTGATTACATGATACCACTTAACTGGCTTGTAATTAGTCAGGCCCACTATGTTTTGAAAATTATATTCCTAATCTTGAACAAAGAGCCAAACTGAACTAAATAAAATTTACAATTAAGATTTATTTATCCTGTTCTGTTCGTCATGTGTTCCTTCCTCTGTCCTTCATGCATGTTTCTCATTCTCGTCCTCTACATGTGCAATACAGTTTAACATTCATTGTTGAAGTTCTATTTGCTGTTTAGCATTCACCTTGCGGCACCTCTATATTGTAATGACTCTAAAATGAGGCATATTAGTGATAAACCCCTCAGGCTTGTCAGACCTGCTTATCACCCAACCATTCGTCCTCTGGCTTCCACTATCCATCCACCCCTTGGTGTACTTTTCCACCAGCAGCCTCAGAAATCAGTTTGGGGTCATTAAAGCATAAAAAGAGGAGGGGCATTCTAGCACTCTCCTCTTCTTTAAGGTTCGTCATGACCCAACAACATTTCAGAGGCGAGGCTCTGAAGGGCCACATGACAGATCATTCAGTGTAGCTTCTACTCTTGCTTGGTTAGTGTCAGCTGATGTGTGAAGAGTTAACAAGCAGAAATGTTGGTTAATGCCTTATAAATCTTTAGGCACAACCATGCTGGTCTAATATGTACAAGCTGTAAGTTTTGAACTGTGTTATAGAAACTAGCCTAGTGTCAAAAGGCTGCCACTTGATTTTTATTTCCCAAAAATGAATGGAAACCAAACATTAACATTCAAATTTATAAAGGATAATTAAAAAAAATCTAACAGCACTGACAGCAGAACAGTCAGCAGTAATGTAAAGCTTTAATGGTCATCTAAAACATTCTATTTGCCTTCAATTTATAAACAGCTATTTAGAGATCAGTGGACTGTAAAACCTCAGAAGGTCTCTGACATGGTTTACAGTGACCTACATTAAGCATATAGATTCAAGGCTTTCTTCCATGGGCCAGAAAGTGTGTAATTTATCTTTGCTTTACTGGTACTGATCTCTGCTTTTAACCACCCCTCATATAGAATAGGTTAACAAACCCTAAGGAAATTGGCTCTGTCCCTGAAATGAGCTGAGCAAGTGAACAGCTGAAAGCTTTCTTATTGATCTGACAGATTCAACCTGCCTCAGTCCGGAAAAGGAGAAATGTGTTCAAATTGGCTTTTAGCTGTTACAAGAACATGTTGTAAATAATAGGGTCCACTTCAACAGATCAGCGGATTAATGTACCTTAGATTTTCCACAATAATTGTATAATAGAGTAGTTGTATCTATAAGTAAACACTGTGAAAAACAAATCAAAACACATGCCCCTCACTCTGGACACTGTGTGACATGACATCCCTCCAGTCCTGTGAGCCCACTTCCTTGTACTGGACCAGGTAGTAGCTGATGGGTACGCCACCATGAGAGTCTGGCTTCATGAAGGTAACGGTTGCGAGACGCTGGGAAACAGCCGACAGACGCACTGAGTATGGATTTGATGGTACATCTGAAAAGACAAAATGAGAAAAGAAATATCAAGGCTAACACCAGAGGTTAACTGTTCCTTATTTCCTGTTAGTGCACTACACGAGGAATATTATCCCAAACTTATACAGCATATTGTATGTACACATACTGCATGGTTGTGCAGACAACTTCATATCTCATTATCTGTGCATTAAAATCTACTAAATAAAGAATAAATAAACACCGCTGTCACTCTTAATTTAAGCCCACTTTTATTTAGCTTTCTAGCTAATTGTACAGCAATAGGGAAACAGTTGGATTATGGTTGTATATAAGTAATTACTCTTAAATTCTTTCTCAGTTGTCACACAATAAATACAGGAGTTTCATAAAAGCTACAGTATGCACTTTTTAACAGAAGAGCTTCGAAATAGTTGCTACAACAGCATGAAAACACAGTAATGTTATAATGCTCTGGTTTAGCAGGCATACTCTTTCACACACCTTACTGTTACCATGCTAATATATGCTAATGAATGAGGCTAGTTTTTGAGGTAATTAGTCATAAACCAAAGGACTTCAGAAATTAAAAGTTTGACCTGATGATGGCAGAAAATAAAAAGTTAAGGGTTCACCTAAATCATAATCGTTGACACTAAATGCATGTTTTACCAGAACATAAAAGTGTTTTTAATACTGTTCCTCATGCCTACTAAGCACATCACTGTCATTAAACATACAGTATAACCAGTGTAACATATAGTAATTTAGCTCATTTCAAGGTTAGGTGGTACACCTTTAATTTGTCCTTCGACTTGTTTCAGCTGTAAACCAGCATCGTTGATTTTCTATTTTTCTCACCTTGAAAGCATCAATCTAGTATTTACATATTTACTGGTGGCTTCATTTAAATCAGCACAGTTTGATTCATTACAAACTGATTCATTACAAACTGATTCATTACACGAAACTTTTACCCAAGGTTTCACTTTGAAGAGAGTGTGCAAAGAGGTGATGAGCTTTTCAGCTTCCACAGGAGACCATCTCCCTTCTGAGTCTCCTTTATTAACTGAGTCTGTGCATGTGTGTGTCTCTGAGTGCATTTCTGCACGATTGTAAGCGTCAGAACCAGTTCCAAAACACATTGTTTCCTGCAAAACTACACATTAGGTCAGCTTTTTGCTCACTGCTTTTCTCCTTATCCAGAGCAATTCAATCTGCGCTAAAGATAATTGGACTGCACTATTGTGTATTAGTCTGCGTTACAGTAAATTAGAGAGTACTTCAGTAAATAGCAAGGGGTATGGTAAATCAGGTGGCACCATTTGAGATTAGGCTAGCCTGAATAGGGGTTGGGAATTGCAGTGGAATCTATCTTCCTGAGAATTGCAAATAAGGCTATTACCATTAGTAGAGAGGTAGAGAGTTACAAAGCAGTTAAATGGTTAGTTACTGTGAGAGCCGTGATTCAGAGGGTGTGGGGTCCATGACTCCACACATTCTGACTTGAAATTAAGTCACCAATCTTATTAGCTGAGCTACAGGGACCACACATTAGTGGCAGTTCTTCAGACTCACCTGCCTGGGCCAGAATGAACTCCTGGTATCGAACTCCAATGTTGTTCCTGGCTGTGCAGTTGTAGCGGCCAAAGTCCCTGTCGGACATGGGAGTCACCTAGAACCGGACAAAACCATTTCAAATAAAGTTAAAGGAACAAGTTAATTTGAACAGGTTAAATGACTTAAATTACAAAATCTGACACTGGCTCTAGATATGCAAATATTTTTGGTTTTATCTGTCCAGGTTTTAGATACCTGTCACTAAGATTTATGTGTCTACCCCAACACAAAGAAGGTGAATGGACATTTCTGTGGTGCAGAATGAGTATTAACAAAAGCTGCTGTAACTCTATCAAGGGAACAATGACACCTTCTTTGATACAGTATTAAAACAACCAGTTTTATATGTTTTAATTTTAAAATAAAAAAAAACACTCAAAAAGAAAATCATCTAAGGAAAAATATGTCAACTCATGTGTCACCTCTCATTGGAACAAAGTGCCCACCTCAAGCACAGACTTGCCCTCCGCACTGTGCACCTGCATGTTGGGCGTTCCCTCTGCAGAAATGGTGAAGCGCTCCTTCCTCCACAGCATGGTGGCAGGAGGGTTTGACATCACATCACAGCTAATGTTCACTGGGTTTCCCTCCCAGGAATAATAGATTGTATGGTTTGTCAGGAACTTTGGTATATCTGTCCAAAAATATAAAGACATTATCTGTCACACTTGCCTCTTTTATATGATAAAGCAGCTGCGCTTTTGGTGTGTCTGGAATGTGTGGCCGCCGATTAAACACTCAAATCAAAGGGGGAGCTGTGCTGGATGAACACAGATGTAAGCATGACTTGCAGATGCTTAACCTACAAATTCCTCAAAGGGAGAAGAAAAACCATTTCATCAGTGCTTCCCTCTGCAAATACAAAAAGAATAATTTAAACCTTATTGAAGCCTCTCATGCTGAGGGGGTGGGGGGCAGGGACCTCTATTCTGATCATCTCCCCAAGAATAAAAATTAAAGAGTTGCCCCAGCAAATTTGAAGGGCAGTAATGGATGATCTCAGGGGTGAGCTCTCATGTGGATTTCTTTTGGCCCAGTCAGCCCAGCTCAGCGGGAGAGGCATTATGGTTGTTTTATGCTCACTTGCAGGATTCCATTAAAGAGATTGATGCCTGGCTCTCTGTCACAGCTGAGGACATGTTATTCCCTGAAGCTTGCAGTGACTTACTAAATGAGTTCATTAGTTCAGTGGCAATGGCTGGCTCAGCCCTGTCATATTTAGACACAGCCTACTGTATATTGTTCTGTGGACTGGGAGTCAAGTCAAGCTGTGGCTCGAGCAAAACAAGTTTACAGTAAAATGACAGCAACTTTGCTTCATGGTTAGAGTAGGTGCAGGAATGTCAGATTTGTTTTTTTCCAACATGAAATGGCACCAAACATATTCCAAAACATCAACTTTTCAACAACTATGCATAACAAGTTTTGAAGGAAACCCTGAACCCAAAAGTCAACTCAGCCATAAGAGGAGAGAATAGTCTTTTGTGTGACAACAGAACTGTAGTATTCATTTCCCCCCAAGCTGTCTCTTGGAATATATTTGTTTATCTGCCCTCTCTGTGTGTTGTTTCTCTGAGCTTCAAGGTAGAAGCACTACTCCCAAAAATGTACTTTTCACTGGTCTTATTCAGGAAACAAGCTGCTCTCATAATGAACCTAATCATTTCATGGTCAAGATGGAGATCTTTTTTTCAAAGCTCATTAGGCAGGGAAGAGCCTGCCCCAAATAACCCCAAAAAACCAGCACTGAGGAATGGGTGCGATCATCGTGTAGCAGGGGAAATGTCAGCGGGGGAACAGAAAGGCAATACATGATATCCTCTCACTAATTAACCCTTCTGGAGGCTGTGAGTGTGGTGTGGGTGCAGGACTTTTGAAGGAGCTCAGTTGTTTATAATAATATAATGATCTTTGGAGAGAAAAACACCTACTGTGCGAAAAAGATTATTAGAACTAAGCACAGTCGAACTTTTGAACTTTATATTTGCCTGCAAGATTTTTGATTTGGCTGCTTAAATGTGTACATGTGTTTCATTTTCACATTAAAAATATTACACAAATAATACATGTGGAGAAAGGAGTAGTAGGCAGGTCAGGTGACAGGGCTTCAGTAGTTTTGCTCCTTTTGCCCACTGACAGCGTAACATAAGGTTCTGGGCACTTACCTCACAGCCACGTGTTTTCACTTAAGCTGCATGATTAGGTCTCTGCTCAGGACAGTGAGGGCAGAATAAAATGGTAAATGGACTGTATTTATATAGCGCATTTTTCACAGTGTTGCACTGGTCAAAGCGCTTTACAGGAGATCATACACCATTCACCCATTCACACACATCGATGACAACAAGGCTGCCACACAACGGCGCTAGTCAAGCCACCGAGAGCAAGTCGGGGTTCAGTGTCTTGCTCAGGGACACTTAGGCATGCGGGGAGACGAACCACCAACTTGCTGGTCAGAAGACGACTTGCCCTACCTCGTGAGCCACAGCCACCCCTAATAATAATTACCAATAGGTGAAAACATGTCTGACTGTGCAGAATGTTTAGGCACTGGTCAGATTATAACCATACTCACACTCAATGTCCAGAAACATGCTCTTCTGATGACCTCCAATTCTGCTGAGGGCCTCACAGTCAAATCGACCCAAGTCAGCCAGCTTCACACCACTAATCGTCAGCACTGACTTGCCATGACGACCACGAACTTCAAACCGTCCATCCTGGCTCTGAAGACACAAAGACATAGATAAATACTGTTTTGTTAAGGTATCCTACCAGGAAAGGTCAGGATCTCTATTTGTGAAGTTCGTTTGCACAGATTCTTGGGTGACATTAAATTGCCATTACATTCCTATAATTCTCACACACTTACTGCCCTTAATACATAGTGTGGTATGTGATTTTCTGAGCAAAAACTACACAACATTTAATAGCATGAAAGAGCAGCTAACTAGACAGACCTAGGATGTCAGGAGGAGAAAGATAATAGTTCTGATTTAGTTTATTTGTGATACTATATTTAAAAGAAAAGCCATACACATGACTGGTTGATTATGACATATACTGTAGGGTGGACACAACAAAAATAACCCTGGAATCCACAAGAGCTAAGTCCATCTCTGTTGCCAAGTAATTTACAGAAAGTTTCTTGCACAAGTTTGTATCCTGACTGAATAATCCTTTTCAACCCCCCTTGCAACTAACCATCACTTGCCACACAGACTCAGGGTTAATGCAATAAACTGTTGATTTATTATAAGGTCATTACATCTGTAGGAAGACGATATCAATTTGAAGCAACGGGTCAATTACAGCAGATGAGACTATGATTCCTGTAATCGACATTCACTTGTAATGAGAAAAAAGCACCCCAGGAGCATCCCAGTTGCAGACGTGACATGGCTGTAGCCTCCAGACTGTTGCCTGACACATAACCTCTGTCATCCCCAAGAAACCACTTTTCAGCAGTGCTGCCCACGAACTCAAAGTTGAGGCATTTGAGAGCTGTGTGACTGGAAAAAGATGTGAGGGTCAGATACACTGGGAAAAATAATGTGATGTATTTTATCTTCAAGTACTTGATTTTTCTAATTTGTGTCTTCTTTTCAACCAAATTTTTTCCTTTTCATAGGGAGAAACCTTTGCAGTCAGATGATCTTGTACCTGTTCTATTACAGTAAATCAGATGATGAATATGATAAACCGAAGTACCTACAGTCTTTTGTTTACTTCATTGTAGCTACTTCGTATATACACATGTAGTGTATACAGTATGTAATGAAGAGACTGGATGATATTCTGTATTTGAAGACAAGACACTGCCTTGAATGGGAGACAATTTTAGTTTAATTCTTATTAGAGTTGAGTCCAGGATGCAGGGTCGCAGTCTTACATGCCTCTCTGCTGTCTCCTTGCAGCTGCTACCCACCCAACACTCCCAGTACCCCATAGAGA